ACCCCAAAGATCAGAAACAAGACAAGGATGTCTGCTTTTGCCGCTTCTATTCACCATTGTACTGGAGGTTCTAGCCAGGGCAGTTAGGCAAGAAAGAGAAATAAAAGGCATTCCAATTGAAAAAGAAGAAATAAAACTATAGCTGTTTGCAGATGATGTGATCTTTGCATATATCAAGTTGTGAAAGAAGCCAGACACAAAAGGCCACATATTGTATAATTCCATTTATATGAAATGTTCAGAATAGGCAAATCCATAGAGACAAAAAGTAGATTAGTGGTTACCAGACACGGAGAGGGGGAGAAGAAGGAGTGACTGCTTATGGGTACAGGGCTCCTTTTAGGTGTGATAAAAGTGTTTTAGAATCAGATAGTGGTGATGGTTGCATAACCTTGTGGTTATGCTAAAAACCACTGAATTTTACACTTTTAAACTGTAAATCAAAAAGAAGAAAACACTTGATTGCTACTTCTTATTTCAATTCATTCACATTTGTCTTTTTTTTACAAAGGCAAATCTTTTATCTATTGAATTGGTTACCAAATAATGTTTGTTCCATTAAACCATCCATTTTTTAATAGAAAGCCCGAATTTGTCATAAATTACAGCCAAACTGAGGAATCAAAATTTTTTTGTGTGAGCAGTATCTGACAATGTTTCTGGGTAATAATGTATCTTAATGTCATAAAGACAGTTATTAAAACTTAAAGTAGGCTACATTTCAATAATACTTTGTAATTATTAACTATGTAGTATGGTCTAAAGTTCAGAACACCTTTTTGGTTTTTAATATCGAATTTCATTAATTCTGTGCCATACTGGGGTATGGTAGTGGTTGTGGTTAATACTCAGCCAGCCAGAATAGTTTGGAGTGTTAAGTCTGCTCCCAGCTCTTCTCACTTTGAGTTATTTTTTGATATCATACTGTTTTTAATCTTAACCTGACATTATTTAAACTTGAGAGGAAAAATCTGTTAAAATAAGGAGTGAAACAATGATGACTGAAGCTAGACTTCATACTATACTCCCAAAGACCTTGGTCTGCGGAGCTGCAGCAGCAGAATCCCACGAGGCCTTATTTGATCAACAGGGCCCTTTTTCTTCTTGCCCAGTCTCTCGTTTCAACTCTCGGATACCAGCAGACAAATTGCTGAGTCATGTCCTTTAAAAGATATTGACACGTGGCCAAAGGCCAGTAAAGTGGAATTAGCTTTTTGCAGAATGGTCAAGCTCCATTGTGGGCTAATGTAATAATTGAGTGGAAAAGAGAATGTCCAGGTCAGCCAGCATCTGCCTAAATCTGCTATTCTTGCTTCAGTGTTCAAAGGCAGCATTTAATAGTCCGGAGATGGGTTGAAATGACTAGGAATTTACCTTCAAATTTCTGTGGATTATTCTTGTGATGATGGTCCATTGTACTATAATTCTGTTGTCTTTCTGCATACATAGGGCAAGAGCACCATTGGATGCTTACTTTCAAGTGAGCAGGACCCAGCCTCATTTGCCAACTGCCTCTTATGATTCAGAGACTAGGAATCCTGTCTCTGAAGACTTGCAGGTATCAAGTAGCTCCGATTCTGACAGTGACAACTCCACAGAGAATGAAGAGGTGGTTGTCCTGGCAGAGGAACCTGGAGCTGCCGTTTTAGAAGGTGTGTATTCAGGTTTGGATTCACAAGGCTAACATACAGAAAGCTTAGACTTCAGAAGGCTAGAAACTCTAGATTTGTGTTTTGATACTCCCCCCACCTCCCCCAATGTCATAGATTCCTGCTTTATTAGCTTTCACTGGCCATAATTATATAGAGAGGATTTGATCTGGCTTACAGGGGTTTTTTTTGTTTGTTTTTTTTAAAGATTTTTATTTATTCCCCCAAAGCCCCAGTAGATAGTTGTATGTCATAGCTGCACATCCTTCTAGTTGCCGTATGTGGGACACGGCCTCAGCATGGCCGGAGAAGTGGTGCGTCGGTGCGCACCCGGGATCCGAACCCGGGCCGCCAGCAGCAGAGCGCACACACTTAACCGCTAAGCCACGGGGCCGGCCCTGGCTTACAGTTTAATGTGCTTTGTGACCCAGTGAGTCAGTCACTTTGTAATGACATTTACATTCCCCTTCATTTTCTTAGACATCTGAGAAAGAAGTAGATTCTTTTTTTTCTTTTTCCTTTTTTTTTAAATATGAGACGCCACCACAGCGTGGCCACTGACAGACGAGTGGTGTGGTTCCACACCTGGGAACTGATTCTGGGCTGCCAGAGCGGTGAGTGCCAAACTTTAACCACTAGGCCATCAGAGCTGGCCCAGTAGATTGCTTATTTAAAAGAAAAGCTTTGTAAATTCAGCACCCTGTCTAGTCTGCCACTTTTTAAGTCCTACTCTAGTGTTATGTATTGTGCAAGTGGAGCTTTATTTAGCGGTAGGTGGACAGAGACCCCTAAAGCATATGTCCTGCTTACATTAAAAATCTTCTGATACCCCACATTATGGTCTTTTCCCACTAAAAAGAACCAGAGCTTCTTGAGAAATAGCTTTCCGGGTCTGGGATGGGAAGAAGAAAAGATTTTTAGGGCATTTTATTGTGCTAGAAAGCAAGGAAGCCATCTACGTTTCATAGAGTTATGTCAGTAGACACAGGAGCAACCTTGGAAGAAATCCTGGTAACCTAAGATGGGACAATATGAGCATCAAAAAGAATAATGAATATATTCTTGGATAGTGGATTGAAAAGACTTCATTTTTTTTAGAGTAGTTTAAGGTCATGACAAAATTGAGTGGAAGGTTCAGAGATTTCCCATATATCCCCTGTTCCCCGCACATGCATCACCGCCTCCTCATCAGCATCACTCACCAGAATGGTACATTTGTTACACACCATAATCACCCAAAGTCCATAGTTTACATTAGGGTTCACTCTTGGTGTTGTACATTCTGTGGGTTTGGACGAATGTCTGGTGACATATATCCATCATTATAATATCATACAGAGTCTTTTCACTGCCCTAAAAATTCTCTATGCTCTGCCTATTCATCCCTCTCACCTACCCCCAAGGAAGTTTTTTTAAATAGAAAAATTCGAGCTAATAATTGAAGCATAAATGATAGAAAAAAATCATCATTTTATGACTCCTAATGAAATGATGTATCTAGGCAAAGATCATCAGTGGATCCTAAAACCATTGGGTTGAAAGGTTGGTGGGATTCTTTTTAATGGAGGGACCAGAACCCATTGATCAATCTTAACATCTCAAAATGTAAAACCGGGCTGGCCTGGTGGTGTAGTAGTAAAGTTCAGTGTGCTGTGCTTTGACTGTAGCCAGCTTTGCGGGTTTGGATCCCGGGTGCAGACCTACACCACTCATCAAACCATGCTGTGGTGGCAACCCACATACAAAATAGAGGCAGATTGGTACAGATGTTAGCTCAGGGCAAATCTTCCTCAGCAAAAACATAATAATAATAATAAAAATAAATAATAATTTTGGGAAAAAAATAACCACTAGACCTTGTGTGCCTCTTGGTGTGTTGCGATTAGAGATACCCACACCACCTAGGAAGTACTGTTGCTGCCCAAAAAAACCCTGAGTCTACTTAAGACTCTAGATATGATAACCATTTTGCACAGTTTATAGGAAGGAGGTTGAGGAAAAAGATGAACAATACTTCGAAGATGTAATCATTCAAATCTAAAATGTAGGATATTCTACAAATGGAATATCTAGAAAAAGACCTTAAATGTGTATGAAAATCTAATGTATTGTAAAGAGAATATCTCAAATCACTGGAGAAAAGGTAGACTTTTAAATTAGTATTGTTAAAACTAGATAGCTAACTAGAAAACAGTAAAATTGAATTCATTCCTCGTACTATAATTCAGTATATATTATAAGTGGATCAGAGAGTGTAAAAATGAAACCATTCTAGTATTTAGAAGAACACATTAGTGATAAAACCCAGGAGTAAGGAGTACTTCAAAATCTAGAAGCAGTATAAGAAAATTACAAGCCAGCATAGATATTTTATGATTCCACGTATATAAAATGTTTAGAAAAGGCAGATCTATAGAGACAAAGTAGATTAGTTGTTGCGTAAGGCTGCTGGTGCAAAACGATTCTAAATTGGCATGAGGGGTCTTTTTGGAGTGATGGAAATGTTTTAAGTTGGATTATGGTGATGGTTGTACAACTCTGTAACTTTACTGTAAGTAAAAGTTAAGCAGTACCATGAGGAAGCAATCATCCAATCCAGGATATAGGACATTTTACAGGACAAAGGACCAGATTTCTCTAGCAAATCACTAACAAAACAGGTGGATTTTAATTTAGAACTTAGGTTCATCACAAGCCATTATTAAGAGAGTGAAATGGCAACCCCTGACTGGAAAAGACATTCATAATATATGTATCTGAAAAACGGCTTGTATCTAGGATATATAAATAACTTCTACAACCTAACAGAAAAATGGGCAAAAGATTTGAACAGGTACCTCCAAAAGAGGATCACCAAATGGCCAATAAATATATAAAAAGACCTCATTAGTATCAGGGAAATACAAAATAAAACCACAGTGTGGTAACCAATATGCACCCACCACAAGAGCTAAAATTAAAAAGATTGACAACATCAAGTATTGGAAAGGATATAAAGCAACGAGACCTCTCATACATGGCTGGTAGGAGTGTAAATTGGTACACCCATTTTGGTAGTATCTTTAAAACTTGCTATATGTATAACCATATGGCTCAGCAATTCCACTTTTGTTTATATACAAAAACAGGCAAAATCAATTGATGGTGTTAGAATTTAGTATAGAGGTTACCTTTGGTGTAAGCGAGTTGACCCCCACCCCCCCAGATATAAGGAGGACATAAGGGTATAAGAGGCCCTCTTGTGGTTGTTGGCAATGTTCTGGTTTATAGTAGTTTGTGAAAATTCACTGAACTGAATACTTATGATATACTTTTCTGTATGTATATTACACTTCAATAAAAGTTTCCTTTTTTTTTTTTTAAGAAGAAGAGCCAATTTGAAGGGGCTCCCACTGGCCTATGATGGGACAATGAGCCTCAAAAAGACAAGTGACTAAAAATTAAAAATCATCTTCTTGATCATTAATGGAGATTGTGAAAGCTTGATGAGGAACCTGATAGTCTAGGGGCCGGACTGACACCAACTGAACCCAACATGAGCCTTCTCATGTGCTGCAGTCAGAAGCACACAACCTAAGAAGTATTCTTGCTGCCCCTCCTCTTCCCAACCAACAATCAAATCCACTGAAGCCTCTAGATCTAACTGCCAATTTATAGGAAATATAGGCAATAGAACAACAAGGAAGCAATCAGCCAAATCCAGGAGGCAGGGCATTCATAAGACAAAAGGCCATATCTCCCCCCAACAAATCAGTGACAAGGAGGGGATAAAAATGAGTGAAGGAGAACTGTCATAGAATGAAAGAGTCTTAAGATTCATAACTGTCAAGCTCATTGTGGAGACCTTGGTTGGATCCTGATTGGAATAAATCCACTGTAAAGAGGAACTTTAAAACAATGGGAAAATTTTGAATTTGAACTGGGTGTCTGAGTATTAGATGGTGTTAAAGGATCTTTGTTAATTTTGTTAGGTATAAAGATAGTGCTTATGTAAAAAAAATTCCTTATCAGTTAGTGTTACAAAAGTTTTTACAAGTGAAATGACATTTAGGGTTTGTTATTAAGTATTCCAAAAGAAAGTAATGGGAATGAGGGCTTTGACAGAACAAGATTGGGAAAGTATTGATTATTTTTTAAATTGGGTGATGGGTACTTGTGGGTTAATTATACTGTTCTGTCTACTTTTATGTATGTTTGAAAATACCCAAAATAAGTTTTAAAAAAATAAATTTACTGATGCCTCTTGGGGAAATTGTCATCCCTTTTACAACAACACTACCAATTAGAAATGGAAAGCTGTGGTGAGTCAAACTCTCTCCTGCTAGCCTCTCATACCTGACTTATGTCTTCTTTTGTATATTACCTATCCTATCATTTCTGGCAATGGCTTGGCAGAACAAGTAGGAGGTATCTCAGCAGAGCAAGATGTTACATGTATCGGTGGAGAAGACACCCTCCCCAAGCAGGTAATATGAGCATCGTTTTAAATGAAAGGCTTGGATTTTCATTTAAAAAGGAGGTTGCAGGCTAAAATGGAAAGCTTCCAGGTTTTGTAGGCAGGAGGTCTAATTGTGAATTCTATCCATGTTACTTATTTATGTGACTGCTTCCTCTTAGGTTTAAGAAGTGGGAGGGTGGGGGGAATGAGGATAACTTGTCCTGCCTACCTAACAAGGTTAAGTATCAATTAAAATAATAGATAGGAGTACAGTTTGTGAACTAGCTGGCAGAATATGATTGTTATGTGGTATGTTTTAATTTTTAAAAATAACACACATCATTGTTCTTAATATGAGAGTTATTTACGTCAATTGTGGACTCTGCCAATCCCAAAACATCATTGATGTACTTTTTGCATGTTTCTGTATGGCCTCTATGTTTTTATTTCTTTCTTCTAAAAAAATTTTATGTACATTTAAGTTTATTTATGTGTATTAATGTTCTATTTTTAAATTTACACAAAAGGAATTATATCATACCTTGTTCTGAGCCTGGTTCCTTTTTCCCCTGATTTATTACATCTTGTAGAGCTTTCTATTATCAGTACATAGAGTTTAATCTCATTCTTCCCCCGCCCCCCCCCCCCCCCCAAAGCCCCAGTAGATAGTTGTATGTCATAGTTGCACATCCTTCTAGTTGCTGTATGTGGGACGCGGCCTCAGCATGGCCGGAGAAGCGGTGCATCGGTGCGCGCCCAGGATCCGAACCCGGGCTGCCTGCAGCGGAGTGCGCGCACCCAACCGCCAAGCCATGGGGCCGGCCTCATTCTTTTTTTTTTTTTTTTTCTGAGAAGATCAGCCCTGAGCTAACATCCATGCCAATCCTTCCCTTTTTTGCTGAGGAAGACTGGCCCTGGTCTAACATCTGTGCCCATCTTCCTCTACTTGATATGGGACACGGCCACAGCATGGCCTGACAAGCAGTGCATCCGTGCGCACCCGGGATCCGAACCCGGGCCGCCAGCAGCAGAGCACGCGCACTTAACTGCTATGCCACAGGGCTGGCCCCATCTCATTTTTATTATAGCTGTATAGTGTTCTATCATATGAATAAATTTTTAATTAACTCTTCCTTTGTCATGTACACTGTGATTGTTCCCTTTTCCTTCCTTCTTTCCTTCCTTTCTTCCTCCCTCCCTCCCTCCCTCCCTCCCTACTTCCCTCCTTCTTCCCACCCCCCATACAAATCATACTGGACTGAGTATCCTTGTACAATTGTCTTGACAAATATTTGTGACTATATTCATGGGATATTTATAGCAGAGAGAGTGCTATGTCAGAGGAAAGATATGTGTATTTTAGTTTTGATAGATAATGCCAAGTTGCCCTCTGGAAAATTTGTGCCGCTTTCCACTTGCAGCAGCGGTGTGTAAGCATGCCCATATCTCCCTCACCCTCAAAGTGCTTGGTGTCGTCAGACATCAGTGTATACCATCTAATAGTTAAAAAAAAAAATGGTCTCTTTAATTTGCATTTCTTAACTAACTAAGTGAACACTTGTTGATTGTTTGTATTTTTTTGTAAGCTGTTTATATCCTTTCTTTGTTTTCTTGGTTTTTTTCCTTTGATTCATTTGATGAGCCAAGTATATTATAGCTACTTGAATTGATTATGAACCTAATTTTGAGTGTATAACAAACCTACTACTCCCTGTTATTGGTTATCTGGGCAACTGCTAGGTTTTTTGTTTTTTTTTTTTTAATCTTTGTAAAGATAGCTCCTTTTCTTCATTTGAATGAAAAAAAAATCCAAGAATTTTAAGTTCAAAGGGTAGTAATATTTTCATGGCTTGTATTACATTTGACCAGATTGCGTTCCAGAAAGAATGACAAGTGATTCATAGGTGTTGCAATTTTTCTACAGCGTTTTCAATTGGGTTTTGTTAGTTTGATATAGTTGCACGTCTTCAAGAGGGCATTTCTTTTAAGTTGAATGTATTCCGGTTTCCATCCAGCAGTCTCCCCAGAAGTCCAACCCCCTTGTACCTTCTGCTTCTATGGATGAGGAAGAAGGGGACACTTGCACAATATGTTTGGAACAGTGGACCAATGTTGGGGATCACCGGCTCTCAGCATTACGCTGTGGACACCTCTTTGGGTACGGGTGCATTTCTAAGTGGCTTAAAGGGCAGGCACGAAAATGTCCCCAGGTAAGGACCATAGGCAAGTACTATGCATGTGCACAGTCAATGTATTAAGTCAGGAAGATTCCTAGAACTACACTAATTGTGTCCTCTTGGGCTCTTTAGTGCAACAAGAAAGCCAAGCACAGTGACATCGTTGTCCTTTATGCCCGCACCGTGAGAGCTTTGGACACAAGTGAACATGAGCGCATGAAAAGGTAGGTGGCAAGAGTCTGCCTAGCTGGAATATTCCTTTTTGGTTCCTTGTAGGCACATATGAAAAAAGGAGGTATAAGTCACTCTTAGTGTTTTTCTGAGGCTACTTGGGTGGTGACTGGGGATCTCTGGGGATCGTTGGCCATCTGTCTCACATTGTGATTTATAATACATGTCTGATCATCTTCTGAAGGAGGTCTACATGGTTTATTCTCCATACAGCATTAAAAATGAGGATCTGGAGTAACAAATAATTGTGACATCAGCTAGCTCAATGAGTGTAGGCTCCAGGACTTCTACTCGAACCCTTGAGAAAGAATAAAAGGTAGTCCCAGAACTCCCAAGTGCCTTCTCAGCCCTGCCTGACAGTGAAGTCGGTGCCCCAGAAAGCAGAGCTGAGAAGTGGAGGAGGATAGATTTCTGACCCTTGAATCCGCCATGCTTGAAGTTAGACTCCAGTGGATTTCTTGGTTACACAAGTCAATAAACTGGTTTTCAATTTTAGTTTGCCGGTTTAAATAAAGTTTTTATCCCTGTAATATAAGGAGTACTAACCAATGCTGCATCACATGACATATCCGTCCTGGGGAGGCTGACACCTGGGTCATGAAACTCACCTTCCTTGAAAGGGAGGAAGGTGAAAGAAGTGCGACAAGTAGTTGGTAGACTGTGCCACCTTCTCCTTCTGTGTGCTCAGCACCTCTTGTAAACCTCTGCTTTCAGAGCCTTAGTGTTGCATGCTGATCGAAACAGATAGATTCGGAAGGAATGGAGCAGCTGTTCCTTCTGCAGGAGCACTTAGGCATTCCCATGAACTTGGAATCAGCTCTCAGACTTAAGCCTTTGGTAATATGACCTGGGAAGGCCAAGAACACGATGTCTTAAGCCTTCCTGAAATCCAAAAGCCATAGAGAAACCTGCAGCTCTACAATAATACCTCACACTTGGCCTGGGCAGCAGACTCAAGCCAAAAGATATCCTGGATTTTTTGTAGCCTGTCTAGATTCTTCCCTAAGGATTACATTTACAACCTGCCTCTGCTACTAAATACCATGAAGACTGAAGCAGGGTTTCCCTGCCTTACTTTTTGGAGCCCATTCATGGCCATCTGAACACTCTCCAAGTCTTAGTCTCCTCGTTGCTAGAATAGGCCTAATGATATTTAAAAAAAGAGGGTCTGGCATATTACTTAAATGTTGCCATTTTTGCTTCTTGGGTCCCTAAGCCCTCCTACAACAGCACTCTACACAGAAGACTCCTGGGTGAAGCTTTGCAGTGCAATGCAAGAAATTTGCGGTGCAAAGCCCAAGAACAGTTGCTAGTAACACTACTTAAAATTGCTTGAAGAACATTAAATAATAAAAATACCCACCACTGAGAGAGTGCATGGGACATGGGTTCTCTCATGCATTACTGGTAAGAATGTACACAGGCACAACTATTCAGAGAGGCCCTTGGCAATATGCTTCAAAGGCCGTTAAAAGCCTTTAATCTAGTAATTCTACTTCAGGTGTTTATTCTAAAGAGACGATTAAGGATGTATGCAAGGATCTACTTAATGAGACTTCATTTAGCATTGTTCATAATCCAAGTGGAGAGGATTAATTGGTTGAGTAAACTGGCATATCCACGTGATGGGATATTACACAGTCATTAAAAATGATGTTGAAATGCACATAATATATTGTCATGTGAAAGCACATTATTAGTGTGATTATATTTGTGTGAACTGGAAAAATACTACAAGTAATCACTGAAGAATGAGATTACAGATGATTTTAATTTTCCTTATTTATTTTTGCTCATTTTCTCCAACACATTCTTAGTTGTAGCATTTTAAAATGGCAGGTGTGTGAAGAGGGAAATTTTGTTGAAAAGGCAGAACCTATAGGTATGGTTGTAATAGATTGTATTAAAAAATTTGCTGGTTACTGTAATCAATCAGTGTGCTCCCTAGGCTCTTTAGAAAATGTGAAAAGTTTCAAAATGTCAATAAATACAGAGATTAAAAAAATGAACATCCTTGTACTCAACTTTATCAAATCCTGATATTTTGCCATATTTGTTTTGGGCCTTTTAAGAAAGAAATAAATCATAGATACAGTAGAAGCTTCCTGCAAACTAAACTTAGTGAACTAAGTTCTCCTTAATTCCATCTCTTTCCCCAGAAGATCTATATATATAAATCATATATAATATGAGTTAGAAAGTTTTTACACTTTATTCAAATGTTATTGGATTATAATTTTCCTTCTGTAGCTTGTTTTTTTTGTCTAATATTATGTTTGGGGCACATATCCTAGTTAATACCTGTAGCTCTGTTTTATTCATTTCAATTTCTGTATGGTATTCTAGTTCTCTAATAAGAATTTACCTATATGTATTTTGTATTGGTGGACAGTTAAGGTGGTTTCTAGATTTGTTAATATAAGCCATGCTGAGAGAGATGAGTGAGAGTTTTTTTTAGGTCTAGAAACCTTGTTGTAGGGTACTTGTAATTTCAACTTTACTAGATATTGTCAAATTGCTCTTCCAAGAAGTTGTTCCAGTTTATACTCCCACCAGCAACAGTGTAAGTGATTTCTCATTTTTTTCATATCCTTGCCTACTTTATATTATCACACTTAATTTTTGTCACTCTCATGGGGTGAAATAGTATTTACCTAATTTGCATTTACTCAATTGCTAATGAGGTTGAACATACTCTTCTATGAATTGTGTTTGTCTTTTGCTCATTTATATTGTGCAAAATATATTGTTTGGTTCTTAGTGATTTATAGTTCTTTGTGTTTTCCTTATACTAATTCCTTGTTGGTTGTGTACATTGCAAATATTGTCTCCTAGTCTGTGGCTTGTCTCTTTAACTTGTTTATGATCTCTTTTACCGAGCGTGAGTTTTTAATTTTAACATAGTCATTTATCAGTCTCTTCTTTTTTTTTTTTTTTTTTTTTTTTTTTTTTTAGTGAGGAAGATCAGCCCTGAGCTAACATCCATGCTAATCCTCCTCTTTTTGCTGAGGAAGACCAGCTCTAAGCTAACATTTATTGCCAATCCTCCTCCTTTTTTCCCCCAAAGCCCCAGTAGATAGTTGTATGTCATAGTTGCACATCCTTTTCGTTGCTGTATGTGGGGCGCGACCTCAGCATGGCCGGAGAAGCGATGAGTAGGTGCGTGCCCGGGATCCAAGCCCGGGCTGCCAGTAGCGGAGCTTGCGCACTTAACCGCTAAGCCACGGGGCCGGCCCAATCAATCTCTTGTTTTGTGCTTTTTTTGTTTCTACTGCTTCAAAGTCATAAAGACATAATATCTTCTACAAGTCTTTAAAAGTTTTGCTTTTTACACAGATTTTTAATCTATCTAAAGTCTAGTTTTATGGATGGATAACAAGTTGTTGTAGCATAATTATTAAAAAGTATATTCTGGGGCTGGCCCCATGGCGTGGTGGTTGAGTTCAGCACACTCCACTTCAGCAGCCTGGGTTCGCAGGTTCGGATCCTGGGCACTGACCTATGCCACTCATCAGCCATGCTGTGGCAGTGACCCACATATAAAATAGAGGAAGATTGGCACAGATATTAGCTCAGGACTAATCTTCCTCAGCAAAAAAAAAGTATATTCTTTCTATGTAAATTCTCCTTGCTACCTCTATCCTAAATTAAGTTTCTACATATGAATGGACTATACTCTTGTTCCATGCTCTGTTTGTTAATTCTTGCTCCAGTACTCCAAGTTATAATTTTTTGTAGCTTTTAAAATACATCTTCCCACCTCATTCTTCAAAACTGACTTTTCTGTTCTTGGCATTTTGCTCTTCTATGTTAATTTTAAAATTAGTTTGCTAAGTTCCATGAAAAACTCTGAGATCTTGATTGAAGTTTCATTAAATTTTTAGAGTAACTTGAGAAGTGCTGTCTTCATGATTTTGAGTCTTTCCAGCCATTAACATTATATAATATCCTTTCACTTATTCACTGTTTTCTTGTGTCTTTTACAAGTGTACTTTGCTTCATAAAGGTCTTGCATGCCTTTCAACTTTATTCCTAGATTGCTATTGTTAGAATTGCTGTTGTGAATGAATTTGTTTCTATTACATTTACTGATCAGTTATCTGGTGTATGGAAAAAACTTATCTAATTTTCTTGATCTTGATTCAAGCACTGGTTTTTATTCTTGGTGAATGTGTCCTTTCGTTATGCATTGTTCCTCATTATGACTATTCATGCTTTTTAATTCTAATTGGCCTTTTTTTGTTAGCATTTTCCTGGTATATACTTTATCTTTTTAACTTCAGCCTCTTTTTTTGTAGTGTTATTTGAGTATCTGATGAACAATGAATAGCTTATTATTTTCTTTTAATAGAACAGATAACCTCGGTCTTTTAACATGTCATTTTACTCTTTTACAATTTGGTCCTAACTCAAGCAGTGAGTGAACTTGGCTCTGTTCCCTCATTTTCCATTTTTAGTCCCCATTCCCTAGAGGGAGCCAAACTCCTGGCTGTCACTACCTATTGTGACACCAAAGCCCCGTAGGCTCATGAGTTCAGCCCTGCATGCTACTTTTCTGTATTGTTTCTGGACTTGAGAGATTTTCCTCTTGAATATTTTATTTACTATCATGACATAGTTACAGCAAAGTGTGTGTATCATAGCATGAACTTACTGTGCCATCTTGATGGGAAGTCTTCTGTAGCCTCCTAATCTCCACCTGTTGCCGAATTTCCCTCTCTAGTTCCCTAGTAAAGGAGCAGATGCTAAGGAAGCAGGCCGAGTTAGAATCAGCACAGTGCCGGCTCCAACTTCAAGTCCTCACTGATGAGTGCACTAGGCTTCATAGTCGTGTCCAGGTAAGTTTGTCCTTTCTTTTTTGTGTGTGTGAGGAAGATCAGCCCTGAGCTAACATCCATGCCAATCCTCCTCTTTTTGCTGAGGAAGACCGGCTCTGAGCTAACATCTATTGCCAATCCTCCTCTTTTTTTTCCCCCCAAAGCCCCAGTAGACAGTCGTACGTCATAGTTGCACATCCTTCTAGTTGCTGTATGTGGGACGCGGCCTCAGCATGGCTGGAGAAGCGGTGCGTTGGTGCGCGCCCGGGATCCGAACCCGGGCCACCAGTAGCAGAGCGCGCACACTTAACCGCTAAGCCACGGGGCCGGCCCAGGTTTGTCCTTTCTAATCCAAAGAATTTTGGGGATAAGAATTGAAAAGGAATCTAAATTTTACTTAGGTTTATCTCATAAATAGGATTTACCAAGTTTTTCAGGAAGTAAACATGGCCAGCTGTTTTATTTCTGATTAGAGTATTTGTCCGAAGCTTACACACTTTATGATGAATTCTACTGCAATCTGGGTTTTTAAAAAATTAAACAGCCAGCTGATAATTCAAACTTGTTTAAAAGTTATTTATTTTTTTTGTGAGGAAGATCAGCCCTGTGCTAACATCCGATGCCAATCCTCCTCTTTTTCCCAAAGAAGATAGGCCCTGGGCTAACATCTGTGCCCATCTTCCTGTACTTTATATTGGACGCCGCCACAGCATGGCTTGACAAATGGTGTGTCAGTGCACGCCCGGGATCCGAACTGACAAACCCTCGGCTGCTGCCCCAGAGTGTGCCGCACTTAACCGCTACACCACTGGGCTGGCCCCTAAAAGTCATTTTATCTCCCTAAATCTACCAATAAAATGAGGGTTTTAGACAAAATGACCATTAAAGACTTTTCAACCCTAATATTTTCTGATTATGTGCTCTCCTTAGTTCAGTTGCTTGTTGAAATACTGTGAAAACTGCAACAGTTCTCTGGGATTCATGTTAACATTTTCATATGTTAAATTAAATCAAGGAATTGTGCATGAGGGGAATAATCAAAAAGCTTCACGTTTACAAAATCTTTTTTATTTTAGGACTTGCAGAAACTTATTGTACAGCATCAGGATCAGATTTCACAGCAACCCAGGGGCTCCCAAGCACGTTTACTAAACTGTGTGCCCTCCAGCCAGGGCCAGCGCAAGTACCATTTCCAGAAGACCTTCACAGTGTCTCAGACAGGAAACTGCCGAATCATGACATACTGTGATGCTCTGGGCTGCCTGGTGGTGTCACAACCTTCTCCTCAGGCCTCCCTCCTTCCAGGTGAACAGTCCAGAACCTCAGCTTTTGTTCATTATTAGACTTCATTTATTTCTCTCCTCCGTTTTTGGAGAATTCAGGACTCACTAGTGGGTGAACACTGACCACAACCCACCAAATCACCTTTCCTAGTCAGTTCCCTGTTAATGCAGATACTTTAGGGTGCTGCAAAGATGTCTTTAGTGTCTACTGGCTTCATTCTGTGAATTTGTTCACCAAGAGAGCAGCAGTACTGATAACCATGATAAAGTGAGAGAAGATGAGGTCCTTGGAAGTGTGGGTTTCTGGGATAGTCCGAGGAGAAAGACATTACTCCCTGGATGTCCCATTAAATTTATAGGTTCATATTACACTGGGAATACTTGAAAAAACAGTACCCCAAGGGCTAATTCAAGTTGAAACAAGATTTAGTACTTGTTTTCTGTAGTGTTCAAATTGACGAATTCCAAGTAAAAGAATTTGGGAATACATTGATTATTAATACTATACTAAATTTCTCATACTGTGCTTTTTAAGCTTAATTTTAGATTGTCTTAATGTTGAAAACCAAATGTCCTCACATGCCCAAGTAAATCATCCCTCAATGTTGTAGATGTTTCTGTCTACCGTCTTCAGCATATGATTTCTGCCAACTGTCAGGTCCCTTTGCTTCAGCCTGGTTTCGTCTCTCTCCCCTCTTAGAAGTTCCATTCAAATGCTTCAGAACTGTGTCTCTCAAACTTAGGATTGGGAGTCAAATCTTAGATTGTCGTATATCTTTCTATTCACTGATATTAGCTATGAGTTGAGAGATTATCAGGAAGCTCCAATTGAATGGGAAGTATGATTGTTTATAATATTCCTATTTCCCACCCAACTTTTTTTTTTTTATTTTTTGTGAGGAAGATTAGCCCTGAGCTGACATCCAATGCCAATCTTCCTCTTTTTTTTGCTGAGGAAGATCGCCCTGGGCTAACATCCGTGCCCATCTTCCTCTACTTTATATGGGACGCCGCCACAGCATGGCTTGACAAGTGGTGCATTGGTGTGTGCCCGGGATCTGAACCCGCGAACCCTGGGCCACCGAAGCGGAGCACATGCACTTAACTGCTATGCCACCAGGCTGGCCTCCCACCCAGATTTTTAATAAAAAGATTTATCATCAAATAAAACCTCTCCACCAATTGGAAAAGTACTTATTTCTTCTAATTGTTCCCCCAACTGGGTACGATCTGTTCTTTTTTCCCTGATGTATCTATTCCACACTGCACAGCCAGCTCTTCTTGGTATCCTACTGGTGCTGATTTCTCCTTGTTGCCCTTGATGATTAACTAGGCAAATATTCATGTTCCTGTCTTGATTTAAAGCCTGTGGTTTCCCTGTTTGTCTCTCTGGCTCTTCTAATTCTGTTTCAGGAGAAAATGCAAAAAACTTTCTCCCATTTGATTCCCTGAAGAAGTTGAAGTGTGATTCAAGACCATTTTGAATCTAGGATTTGACAAATTCTGTTTGTATGTAACTCAGATAATAATAGATACTTAGTAAAATAAATATATTATAGCCTAGTAAGAGAGCAGAGTAAGAAATAAATTAAAAAGGGCAAGTTTTGGAGTTTTTTTCCCCTCCTGGAATGATATACATTGATGGGGATACTTGAGGTGTCATGTATTTTCATTCCATTTCACACAAATCTAGCATATCTTGACCACCTGACATAGAAATTTATCTCCATTCCTTATTCACTGTCTCTTCTGCATCTTTTTTTGTGTGTGTGTGAGGAAGATTAGCCCTGAGCTAACATCCATTGCCAATCCTCCTCTTTTTGCTGAAGAAGATTGGCCCTGGGCTAACATCCATGCCCATCTTCCTCTACTTTTATATGGGATGCTGCCACAGCATGGCTTGACAAGCGGTGCGTGGCTCCACGCCTAGGATCCAAACCTGCAAACCCCAGGCTGCCAAAGTGGAGTGCGTGAACTTAACCACCACGCCATTTGTGTCTCTTATCAGTTTTACTAAAGTAAAATTATCTTATCAGTTTTGATATTATCTTACCAGTTTTACTAAAGTATAATTGACACACAATAAATAGCATATATTTGAAGCATGCAGTTTGGTGAGTTTTAATATATGTATATACCCCTGAAATCATCATCACAATCAAGATAATGAGCATATCTATCACCCACAAAGTTTTCTCATGCCCTTTTGTAATGTCTCCCACCTGTCCGTCCCTCCTCTTCACCATCCCCAGGCAACCACTGATCTTTCTGTGACTACAGATTAGTTTACATTTTCTAGAATTTTACATAAATGGAATCATACGATATTACTCTTTTTTGTCTGGTTTCTTTCAGCATAAGTTTTTTGAGATACGTCCATATTACTGTGTATATCAATAGTTCATTCTCTTTTATTGCTGAGTAGTAGTCCATTGTGTATGTACAAGGGTTTATCCATTCAGCTGTCACTGGACATTTGGAATGAAACATACTTTTTAAAATAAATTTGAACCCTGGGGAATTTGTATTTTCTTTGTTTGACCAGCTGTTTTCCAGGGACTTATATGCCAAGAAAGGTGAACAAAGGAGCTACTTGAAAAGGTAGTTTGCTTTGCCCTCACTTGACTTTCAGTGTTCTATTTCACGCTCTCTTACCTTTGGCAGGCTTTGGTGTTAAGATGTTGAGTACTGCCAACATGAAAAGCAGTCAGTACATTCCCATGCATGGCAAACAGATCCGCGGACTGTCTTTCAGCAGTCGGTCTAAAGGCTTACTGCTCTCTGCTTCCCTGGACAGCACTATTAAACTGACCAGGTGAGTCCTTCAGGGAGGAAGATGGGCCCTGGGCTGTTTAGTGTTGAACAGTGTGGAAATTAATATCTGTGTTATGATGGTCTTAGCTAGCTTTTTTTTTTTTTTTGGTCTGAGCGTTGTCTTCTGAGATCCAGGTTCATTGAATTTAAAATGTATTGCTTTTAAGTAGGCACAGCAGGTTATAAAACAGTAGGTGTAATGTCCTGTTTCTTTAAAATTATATATGTTACAAAATACATCTTAAGCCATGCAGATTAGAGTAACACCCTAGAGACAGTAGAATGACAATATGGAGAGAGCCTTGGGACCTGGCACCATGGAGTCACCATATCAGCTTGGCACTGCTTATTCCTGATCTGTTACTGGATCATTCTGCCTAACAAAAAGCTCACCAGGAACTCACTCTCCTGGGGTGCCAGGATGACTTCTCTCATCAGTAGTCCTCAGCTACTGCATTTTGTCTTTCACATGCTCTGTGAGTGCTGTGAATCAGATCTGCCTTTATCTTCTAGGAAGTAGTTCTGATCAGATGTCTGATAGTTGGCTTCCTGTTTAATTTCTGCAGCTAAATCTGAGGGACATCATGACAGCACTGTCAGGCCTGATAAGCCTTTTGACTTTTCGAGAATGCTTCAGCTTAATTTTGCCCCAAAACTCAATGTACCATTATATTTTACATGTATGTATATACTATGATTTTTTTTTCTAGTAGTGTTAAAAAATAGGAAAAAAAGAAGAAAAGTTAGATACCAAAGTATTATTAATGACTACTTCTGGATGTTTGGATTATAATTTATTTTATTTTCCTTATATGTCTTTTCTAATTTTTCAACATCGAATATGACTACCTGTGTAATAGGGTAACTATGGAGAAGGTCATAGGGGTAGGGTGGGGAATGTGCTGTTTATATGGCCCTTTAATTCTTTTACATTTGGGCCGGCCCCGTAGCTTGGCGGTTAGGTGCGCGCACTCCGCTGCTGGCGGCCTGGGTTTGGATCCCAGGCGTGCACGGATGGACTGCTTCTCTGGCCATGCTGAGGCCACGTCCCACATAGAGCAGCTAGAAGGATGTACAACTACGACATACAACTATCTACTGGGGCTTTGGGGGGAAAATAAATAAATAAATAAAATCTTTAATTCTTTTACATCCTTACAGCTCAAGGGGAAGACCTGTGTCCCCGAAAACAAATATTTTTGAATTAAAAGGAGTTATCTGGGAAGTCCCTGGAGGAAATTGGGAATCCAAATAGTTTGGGTGTGTGAATGTATTCTTTTTTTTTTTTTTTTTTTTGTGAGGAAGATCAGCCCTGAGCTAACATCCATGCCAATCCTCCTCTTTTTGCTGAGGAAGACCGGCCCTGAGCTAACATCTATTGCCAATCCTCCTCCTCTTCTTTTTTTTTCCCCCCCCCAAAGCCCCAGTAGATAGGTGTATGTCACAGTTGCATGTCCTTCTAGTTGCCGTATGTGGGATGCCGCCTCAGCGTGGCCGGGCAAGCAGTGTGTCAATGCGCGCCCGGGATCCAAACCTGGGCCACCAGTAGCGGAGTGCACGCACTTAACCGCTAAGCCACGGGGCTGGCCCCTGGGTGTATTCTTAAAAGATCATCATTGAAATGATAATCTTTACGTCTTTGTTATATATTTGATTTTCTTAATGCATAGTTGTAAAAGTCTCTTGTAACTCCACAGCCTGGAGACAAATACCGTGGTCCAGACTTATAATGCTGGCCGTCCTGTCTGGAGCTGCTGCTGGTGTCTTGATGAAAACAATTACATGTATGCTGGACTGGTCAATGGTTCGATACTGGTGTACGACCTTCGAAACACGAGCAGTCATATCCAGGAGTTAGTACCTCAGAAAGCCAGGTAGGGAGCCACTCACTTTTTTCCTGTAGGTAGCAGCTTTCTCTTGGACTGATATTTATTAATCCTCTCTTTCCAGAGTGTTTCACACTTGGTCAGAATTTCTCACAGAGGGCAGTTCTCAGAGTCCACTGATCTAGTCCCACTTCGCACTTCAGAATCAGTAAGATCCTTGGAGTTTTGTGTTCATGCTTCACATGGTGCAAAGCTCTGGTACCAAGTATATAGAGTCACTTGTCACCCAACATGGCAAAATGAAGTCAGACCTGTGTTCGGGACCCAGCTCCACTATGTACGAGCTGTGTGACCTTAGTCACATTTCTTGGGCTGTTGTAGCTTCATCTGTAAACTATGGTTAGCGTAGATCTGCTTTAGTAGCTACACGTCTAACACACAGGAGGACGTCAGTAAAGAGTAGCCCAATAAAAAGTGATTTAAAACTTCCTTAATCCACAGCTAAATCAACTTGGTCTAAGGATACCATACTACTATGATTTATCATTTATAATCCAGTTACAGAGTTGGGAGGTTTATGAAGTCAGCCCAGGTTCTGAGGGTGGGTGGCCACCAGCACCACTGTGGCTTTTCAGAATGTGTTGGGTGCCATTTGGAATAATACTCTCCTAGAGGCATAAAGTTCTCAAAACAGAAGTGGGATCTGTGACCTGGGCCAAAATGAGAAGTGTCTTAGGAGAAAATTTCCATTTCCAATTTGAATATGTATTAAAAGGGGGCACAGGAATCTAAACATAAAGATATCACTATCAGTAATAATGATTTCTGAAACCTAGCCCATCACTTGGGTTTTCTTTTCATTTGGGTGGGATGGAGTCATGCTTCAGTGGTGTGGTACATGTGCCTGAAGATGATTGATGTAAACTTATACACATGTGAACACCAGGCAAACAAGGTAACTGCCGTTGATGTAGAAGCATCCACATAGAGTAGGCAGTAGAATACAGCAAGTAGCAGCAAGGAAAGAATATTTGTGTGTATGGTTCCTTTTTGTATTAGTGTGCCTTGGTTAGCTTCATTGTGACACAAATGAAATAAAGCAGGCTAAGTGATCGCTTTGGCAACTTCAGCAGAAATGGGTTCATAGGAACATAGTCTGCAGGCCAGTATTTCTGAGAGAGTTCTTGGCATACAGCCCTGCTGATACGCTCGCAGAAAGAGATTTAGAAAATCTAAAGAAATGATCCTGTTTCTGAATTAAAATGTAATTGCTTTAGGCTATATTTGAATTGAGGGGTCTGTCGACAACAGCTTGGAAGTTTTATTAGATGTATAAGCTGTGTTTCTTTCCTGACTTTTCTTGTATATGTGGCTAACCCCATTTCCAGAAGCTTCACACCAGTCAAGCTTCCTTGTAATTGTGGTCTTATACCATTCAATTTCCTAGTCCATTTTTTTCATTGCTTTTAGAGCATGTGATGTCTCCTCTGAAATTAGCTGCAGAATATTATATGTATGCCCTTATGTTTCTACAAGTGGATAGGTAGTTTTTATCAGATAAAGGATAGTGACCCACAGAAGGTTTTTAACCTCTTCTATACAGGTAGGACTGTACTCAAGGGCTCTTGGTGCTGGGGTCTGGAGCAGTCCAAGTATTGGAATATAAGGCATGGTTTCCTTTCTTTCCCTTCAGATGCCCAGTGGTATCCCTGTCATACCTACCCCGAGCTGCCTCATCTACATTTCCATATGGTGGAGTGTTGGCTGGAACCTTGGAGAACGCTTCCTTCTGGGAGCTGAAAATGGGCTTTTCTCATTGGCCTCATGTGCTGCCCGTGGAGCCAGGGGGCTGCATAGACTTTCAGACAGAGAGCAGCACCCGGCACTGTCTTGTGACCTACAGGCCTGGTGAGTGTTGGGGTGTCCTCATGGGACCTCTTGTGGTTTGTCTGGGAGCAGATTGGTAGAGGGGAAGACAGGAGTTTGCCCTACCCTTCAGGTAGTACTGGAGGCCCCTCGCTACAGTGTAGCACTACAGAGTAACAGTTCTTGCTACTACAGTGAGTATGGTGGCCCCAAGTTCCTCCATAGAGCCTGCATCTCTGCTCCTCACTTGTGCGAGTGGGAACATATTCTGCCGGATACTCCCTGGAAGTGAATTAGCCAGTTTAGGAACCCCTACAATTTAGAACAGTAATGGAATGAGGAGATCTGCTCTTGAGGCTGTTGAGCCACCCTTAGATCAGTTTCATGCCTTCTGCTTGGCTCTCACTTCAATTAAAGGCCCAGATGAAGGCAGCCATGTGGGGTCCAGAGTAGGGTATTAGCTGTTCCCCCTTATCTGGGGCCAGCAAAGGTAAGTGGAGAGTAGGTGGACAACCGTGGTAAGCCTAGCCAGCTGAAATTCTCACTGCCTCCAGAACCAGGGTGGAACCCCTGACAGCCAACTGTGCTTAAATTCACAGGTTCTTTCTAGCATGAAAGGTGTGAATCTAAATTCCTGATGAACTATACTGATGGTCAGGCAGATGTTTTGTCAGAGATGATCATTCAAGTGCCCATACTTCTGCTAGTTGTGGGTAGATCTAATCATGTTAAGTTTTGTTTGGGCTGAGAAGCTGCATCAGCCGACTTTTCTGACCCTTTTGGTTCTTAGTCACCTCCTAGGTCCTCTCCCTCCAAGGCTGTGATTTGCTGTGACTTGTATAGAAAGTTTGGGGGTCCCATTTTGTTCTCTAGCTTTTGTTTGCCTCCCTGCAGAACCACAGGTATCTGTTTCCACTTCTGTGATGGTATGCTTTCACTGTATAAAAATGTACAATTCCAGGGGCCGGCCCCATGGCTTAGCGGTTAAGTGCGCATGCTCGCCTGCTGGCAGCCCGAGTTCGGATCCCGGGCACGCACTGACACACCGCTTGTCAGGCCATGCTGTGGCAGTGTCCCACATACAGTGGAGGAAGATAGGCACAGATGTTAGCCCAGGGCCAGTCTTCCTCAGCAAAAAGACGAGGATCCGCATGGATGTTAGCTCAGGGCTGATCTTCCTCACAAAAAAAATAAATTAAAAAAAAAAAAATGCAATTCTAGGGGCTAATGGGGTCCTCACAGGGGGAAGGAAAAAAAAACTTAGTCAGAACTCTTAAGGAAGATAAAAACCCGAGCAGAGGTCTGGCAGGTTACAGTGATTTTACTAAAAAGGATAGTTCATTCTCAGAATTATTTCCCTCATAGGCAAAAACCTATTGTAAATAACTTGCTTCATCCTAGCCTAGGGTTCTACATTTCATTTGTGCTGTATTATTTTGTTCTTGTTATTATGTTTGCTTTGTAACTGTTCTTGATGGTTTAATAAATTGCAGCCTTTCCACTCAACTAGGTTGTAAGCATCTGAGGTGCAGGTACTTGGTTAATTTCTTTGGACCATCCCCATGGAGCAACACTGATTTCTCTGTCCCATAGATAAAAATCACAACACCTTACGAAGTGTGCTGATGGAGATGTCCTACAAGCTGGATGATGCTGGAGAGCCAGTCTGTTCCTGCCATCCTGTACAAACATTCCTTGGGGGACCCGCTTGCAAACTACTGACCAAAAGTGCCGTTTTCCAAAACCCAGAGAATGATGGCAGCATCCTGGTGTGTACTGGGGATGAAGCATCAAATTCTGCCCTGGTGAGCCTATTATTATTTTTTTTTTTTTTTTTTTTTAAAGATTTTATTTATTTATTTTTTCCCCCAAAGCCCCAGTAGATAGTTGTATGTCATAGTTGCACATCCTTCTAGTTGCTGTATGTGGGACGCGGCCTCAGCATGGCCAGAGAAGCAGCGCGTCGGTGCGAGCCCGGGATCCGAACCCGGGTCGCCAGCAGTGGAGCGCGCTCACTTAACCACCAAGCCACGGGGCCGGCCCAAGCCTATTATTTTTTATACAGAAGTATATAAAGCAAAAAGCTCAAGTTCTCCATAATTGCACATATCTGCATATGTGTGTATATCTATGGTTGCTTAGTTTATTTTTTACACGAGTCATACTTTACATACTGCTCTGTAGTTTGCTCTTTGCCCATTTAACTTCCTATCTTGGATATCTTTCCATTTCAATATCTATAGATTCACCTCATTCTTTTTACCTGAGTTATAGTGTCCCATGGGTCATACTATGAACCTATAAAGAAAAAAGGCACTACTGAAACCCCTATAAAATAACTGAACCAGGCATCAGCTTCATCAATTCAGGATAAAACCAACAGATGAAAGGTTGATGGGGAATTTTACAGTGGAGGAGTCAGCCTGCCACCACCTGAACACGTTGATCAACCTTAGCATCACTGTAAGTGGGTTAACCAGGAGTAATTTGCCTCTTGATGTTAAGGCAGTATGAAGCACATGGCGCCTTCTATGAGATGTTCTTGAACCTGAATCTAATCAAGCCTTAGAGCAGCGCTGTCCAGTATAGTCACACTAGCCACATGAGCACTTAAAATGTGGCTTGTGTGAATGAAGAACTTAATTTTTTAATTTTTATTTAATTTTAATACAAATATAAATAGCCTTATGTGGCTAGTGGCGACTATATTGGATAGCACCACTCTAGAGTCTAGTGCTAACTTTCATTTACTGGAATTGCAGTGGATAGAGAACAAGTTAGATAATAGCACAGAAAGCAAGCAGACAGATCTAGGTTGTGGACGTTCTGTAGGACGGCTGACCCAGCTTCCACAACAATGGCAGAAGTCAATGGCAGAAGAAAAACAAGTGAGGAGGTTGGGATCTGCTCTAGATTAAGAGAGACTTATTAAAATTTATAGCTGCCAATGTAATGTGGACCTTATAAATTTTGGATCCTGATTCAAATAAATCAAATGTAAAAAGCGACTATCAGAAAATTTTGATTGTGCACTAGGTGTTAGATAATACTGTGAAATTATTGTTCCTTTTGTTGGGCATGATGACATTGAGGTATAAGAAACTTTTTTTAGAGATGCGTATTTAAGTATATATAAGAGTAAAATAACATGAAGTCAGCAAAGAAAAAAATAGAATCAATAAAACAGGTGTAAAAGCTTAATAATCTGAATGATGCGTAGCTCATTGTACTATAAAATTATTATTACTTAAAAATTTTTTCATAATAAAAAGTGTGTAAAAGGGAAAAGAAAGCTCCAGTTAGAAGATAGGTTCCATGAAGGCAGGGACAGGGACTTTTTGTCTTGTTGACCCCTCTGTGCCTCGAAGAGTGCCTGGCACATAGATTGAAGTGATGGATGCTCGGCTTGGTTTTCAGATCCACTCACAGGTAGACTGACTGCTGCTTACAGTAAGTGAGGCCATACCTGAACCATGTCAGGTGTGCTGGCTTTGTGCAACCTTGTGAAAGTTAGGGACAGGCTGCTTTGCTCCCCAGGCAGTGCTCTCTCTGCGGCTCTTTCAAAGTTGTCTGATGATAAAGAAAGCAAGTCCCCCAGCTGAACTGAATGACTCCTGACCTTTATCTCTGCTTGTCTTTAGCTGTGGGACGCTGGCAGTGGCTCTCTGCTACAGGATCTGCAGACCCATCAGCCTGTCTTGGACATCTGCCCATTTGAGGTGAACCATAACAGCTACTTGGCTACCTTAACAGAGAAGATGGTCCACGTCTATAGGTGGGAGTGACCGTGGTCTTGAAACTTACCAGGCATGCTGCTGGTTAACATTAAATGTTGTTTGCTAGCACCTTACAGCCCTGAGCAAGATCTCTGCTATTGTCTATGGCCTAGAACTTTTGGGATCATGGTTCCTTTGGATTGGTATGATTCTAGGACTCCAAGTCGCTGAAACACTACAGTTTGTGTATTTGCTGTGTCCACCAAAAGAGTAAGTGACTGGGATCCATCTACATTATCCATTTCTTGGGTTAAAAGCTTTCGTGAATCTTTGTTGAGAATCTGTATTTTCAATCAGACTTTCTGCTGGACCTCACAGTATCCTCCCCCAGCATTCATTTAGAATATAAGTGTTCACCAAGCTTTTTCTGGAGGATGTGACACCGTGCCTGAGTGGTCTTGTCACTTGAGCTCTATGACTTGAGAAGGCTTGTGTCCCTGAAGGAACTGAACTAACCATCTTCTTGATGCTGCATGGATGCAGAAGAGTCTTTTATTGAACACAAGAGGGCACCATAGAACTTTGTGAGAGATTTGATCTATTTCTGATCTTGTGGGCTGACCTTTTAGTAAGTTGGTCTCATCCCCACAGAAGTGTGTGGTAGGGCACATCTGGTCTGCTTTGTGGCTGCAACAGTTATGTTCCATGTGTGCAGTGCTGTGATATCGGCGAGCCCAGTGATGGAGGCAGCTGATGAGACGTAGACCTTTTGCTAATGCTGAGTGCATGAAGTTCATCACAATGTGGGAGCCAAGGAAAGAGACCTTTTGTTTGAGCAGTGGGGAAGACTTATTTTTTTCTAGCCAGCTTAGGATCTCAGGATTGGTTTTATATAAGCCAAGCTTTGAAGACCTCTCCTTTTCCCTCTCACTAAGAAAAGATAAGCAATATGTAAAGCTCTTGCTTAAGTCTCTCCTAGTATCAGAGACAGGAGCAAGGGGCTAACTGAGAGAGGCTTACAAAAGAGAAGCTGCTCAGATTGCTGCTAAAAATAGAGGAAGGGCTTATCTCTTCCATCCTGAAAGAGTTCCTATCTGAATAAAGCCAGCCCCTCGGAGTGAGGGCTGTTCCTGAGCATGTTTAGAATTCCCAGGTAAAGCCTTCTCCGTGTGAAACTGATGTTTGAGTCCAAGTTCCTCTGATTTGCCTCCCTTCCTAACCTTTTCTAAAAGTGTTGTTAGTAAAATATTCATTCTCAGGAAGACAATAGTGGTTGGAGACCTATGTGGATTACAGGGAGATGCCCACCAGCTTTCATTCCATCCCTGGATTGTCCATCATTGGGAGCCACACTTTTTCCAGTAGAGGGTTCAGTTTATATCTCTTTGCTTTGCCTAAGGCTACTCTGCTAAACCAGGGTCCACAGTAGAACATGCCTCAAGGTGTGGGCGGTCAGTGCCCTGTTCTTGGGAGCGGGATGGCTAACAGTGTAATTTTCTTAAATAACTGTTGTAGAAATAGTATCATTTTTATTTTAAAACACTTCTGACCTGTCAACTCCTGAGCTGTTTCCAACATTTCTCACCAGCAAAGGATTATTGCAGTCAATTTCCCCAGAGTTGCAAGTTCTAGTTGTGCCTTTTTTAAAGAGTGGTTTCCTTCTATTTAAGGTCATCTTTCATAAAGCCAGTTTCTGGGGCCTGGGAAAGAGCTCCCTTTTTTCACAGGAGATATATTCCTTTTGATATGTTGATGATTAAGAATGACTGCCCAGGCCTAGAGCTTCAGTGGCAGAAAGGGATTTGAGTTAAAAAGCAGAACTCATCTAGTTTCAGCAGATTGTCCCAGAGAGGATGCAGATGGTCAGGCCCTGGCTGCCTTTGTCTTTGGCAGGGGCAGAACCCAGGTAGTGTTAGGATTTGACTAGCGTTAAAGTACACTCAGCTGACGCTGATTGATTCCCCGAAGTATAGGAACCACAGGAAGCTAGATGAACCTCATGTCTTTCCAAGCCTTGCATTCTTCCAGTAAATTTGAATGTTTTAGAAACAAATTCATGTGACTGGCTAATTTCTCCAAAGGAAAAAACTTCACCCCTAGCCCCCCCAACACCCACCCCCTTCAACCTGGCAGGAGATTAGATCTGTAGACCCAGACTCTGCCCCACCATGTTCACTCACCCCTGTCTGTAAGGTAGTTTTCCCATTTAAGGGTTTGGAGTTAAGCAGACTCAAAATATCCTGTCATTGTATATATCCTTGTATTTGCAGGGCAATGGGGTCTCTGGTTCGTGTTCTGTGTTTTAATGTTTGTGTTTTATGTTTTTATGTTAATTTGAAAATAAAGTATTTGCCATGTGTACCGGCTCCTGGAGTCTTTTGTCTCTGACTGCCAGAGGCAGGAACGTGTCTACCTCTTGGGAGAGGGGTATAATCCCAGTCTGGTAGATTTCTCCATTTCATGCAGTATACTAGGTCTGAGTTACACAGGATGGTCCCTGGATCTGAAGTAAACATCTTATTTAATTTTATGAGGTGGTTGAGGTTTTAGCTGGCAATTCTATTTTACTGTTGCTAATGGGAAGCTATGTGTTTGCCTCTTAAGAATCCCCCTTCACTGGTTATTTGTCTGTTTACTCTCAGATCTAAGGGTCTAAATCCTGCAAATGACATTTCCCAGACTCCCTTTGCCTGCTGACTTCTTGTTAGTTTCTTTGAATCCAGAAGACTAATATAGGAGGAGGAGAGGACTTATCCTTTTATTTCTTTTAGTCTTTGGCAGCACTTCTGATGGTGGCAGCAGCATTGGGCAAGTATGGGCTCCTGGGTTCCTGCTCAGCACCATTCTGGTCACTTGGCTCAGTTTCTTTGTTCTATTTAGTTCAGGAATTTCTGTTGCCGTAAATCATGGTGTTCTGAGATTAGACTGGAAAGGCTGAAAATGTTTTCCAGCTGAACTGCAAATGGAGTCTGTATACTAGATTCCGGGAGGACTGAATCCATAGGTATAAACTTACTATTGTCATGGAGCCTGGTGCTCCAACAGAAAATGACAGAGGTCCTGGGGTAGAAGTAAACCCCAGATTACTAAGAAACCCAACACCATTGTTTTCTTGTCCACAGTACTCTTCATTTTCTTTCTCATCTTAGTGATTGGCTATAAGTGAAATTCTGAAAATAGATGTTTGTGTGTCCTTGTCCTTGAATCAGTCAACTTCTGTTTGTTGGTAATGAGCTCTTCTGTTTATTTGTCCCTTTATAGTTTACAAAGCCCCTTCCTAATATATTTTTAAACAATGTTGTGGAATAAGTATTGTTATTCCAATTTACAGGGGAAGAAACAGGTTTAAAATTCTATTAAAGGAAAATGGCATTAAAGGAAAATGGCATTTAGGTGGTATTCAGTTAAGTTTTACTTACACTAGTCTTTACGTTCTATACTTTCCAGTACTGACAGCTAAGCAGGAGTTGAGAAACCTGAGTGAAAGCTGATTTGCACTCTTGATGTCTCTGTCTCCAGAACAGCCTAGGCTGATTCCCCACAACTTACTTCTACATTTAAAATGAAGATAAAGCAGACTGTCTTGCATATTATTATGACACTTCACACTCTTCCAAATGCCCTCATTTGTCTTGGGTTTCTGGGTGCTGAGGCTGGGAACACCACTTCCAGTGGAAGAGTCCATGACATGTGGGCTAGAACCCCCAGTTCAGTGCTCATCACAGAAGTCAACTGAAGAGGGAAAGAAGGTGGTGGAGCTGCTCTGTCTTGCTCTAGAAAGTGGGGTGCAGGGCTGGCTGAATAAGGAGCCTGCTGTTGAGATGTGATGTGAGGAGAGGTGCCATGAACCCTCACTTGCCCCTAAAGAGTAACAATAGGTTCATCCAGTTATGGATGCACCAAGCAGAAGGGCTCACCTGGAGGCTAGAAGTGGGTCCAAATTAACAATATCTGGATTAAAAGGAAGTGTTGCACATTGAGAGGAAAACAAAGGACGTTCAGAACTTCATTTAACAGATGCTTGGGTAAAAAGACCTAGAGGTTCTGTTACCTAAGCTAAGCTCTGTGTGAGCTGCCAATAGTTGGATGGACTGATGGTTAATGAAAGTGGGGGCTTGGCAGACCACTTGTTCCTGGAATAAAGAAGAGAATATCTTTTCCTGGATAGTTACTCTGCCTTCAAACTCTTCCCAATGCTGAGATCTGTATCATGCCCATAGACCCTGCCATCTGATTAAAATGCCCGCATAAGTTTAAAGCAGTTCTTCCAGAAGGGTCATGGTAAATTCCCAGGCTTGAGCCATGGTGGGAGTGTTGGGTGTTGATGTGGCTCAATCGTTTCTCTTAAACATGGTACAGAGAATTGATTGTTGGGTCGGCCCCATGGCGTTAGCTAAGGTTAAGTGCACGTGCTCCGCTGCTGGCGGCCCGGGTTTGGATCCCCAGCGCACACCAATCCACCGCTTGTCAGACCAGGCTGTGGCGGCGTCCCACATAAAGTGGAGGAAGATGGGCACAGATGTTAGCTCAGGGCCAGTCTTCCTCAGCAAAAGAGGAGTATTGGCATGGATGTTAGCTCAGGGCTGATCTTCCTCACAAAAAAAAAGGAAAAGAAAATTGATTGTTCATCAGATTAGCCAGGAACAGATAGGAAGGAATGAGGGCCTAATGTAAGAAAGGGTAATGGGGAGCAGCGAAGAGGAGAAATTACTGTGGAATCAGCCCAGTAAAGTTCCAACACCTGGTTTGTACCCCAGTGGAAGCTCTGGAGTTGGCTATGACCCCAGTTCCTCTCATGAAGATGGTATCCTGACTATTGAGGTGGAGAGAGTGACAGTAGTTCACATCACCAGGCAAACACCCCTTACCTCAGATCACATGAGTCACTCGCTGCTTGAGTCAAAGAAAGGAAACAAATACATTATCAGATGCTAACATTTGTTTCTCTGATTAAGACCCTCCCCCCCAAAAAAAAAGACATGAAATTCCTTTAGAGTAAGGACCACAGTTTGTGCAAATTGGCAAATTGTTGTAAGGAGGATAGGACATCCAAACTGGAACGCTGGGTTCCTTTCTCTGGGTCTTAGATTCTCAGCCTAGGTATTCACTGAGGTCTCTGACAGACTAGTTCAGATCCCTTAACTGTATAATTTGGGGGTGCCTGGAAATATGTTATTCCATTTTTTATCCCTTAAATTTTGATATTAAGTCACTGATGTCCCTCTAGCTCAGTAGTCTTATACTGTTTTTTCCTAAAAATTAAAAAATAATCAGAGTAGTTCATTTTAGATGTATTATAATAGCTTACGTTTACTGAGTATATGCCTAATGCTGTGGTACATCT